GGACAGGTACATTGGCAACACTGTTCATCCTCGAAGTGAATGTCTCAAAGCCTCAACAAGATATCCAGGTAGAGGCCTGGTGACTTCATGCCTCAAGTTTAAGTACATGGAAAAGATTCCCCCTGCAATGACTGCTTGAACTTGATAATGCTGATAAAGATGATCTCTCTTCCTTGTAATCAGCTGCATTGAAAAAAATCTTCGTGGGGCGCCTGGATGGCTCAGTGAGTTAAGCCGCTGCCTTCGGCTCAGGTCATGATCTCAGGGTCCTGGAATCGAGCCCCGCATCGGGCTCTCTGCTCAGCAGGAAGCCTGCTTCCCTTCGTCTCTCTCTGCCTGCCTCTCTGCCTACTTGTGATCCTCTCTGTCAAATAAGTAAATAAAATCTTAAAAAAAAAAAAAAATCTTCGTGAGTCCTGAAATTGATCAGGTCCACATCCTCCCTTTGCCTGGAATTTAGCATGACAATCAGGTGCCGCTGAGTGAAGGCACAAATGCCAGAGCTAAAAGAGACCTCCCTCAAAGATGAGAAAGCCCCATTCCCTCATTTTCCTAAGCCTTCTGTCTCAGTGGGCAGGGTCTGACTGCTCAGCAGGCCCCAGAAAGTGCTCAGCCAGTGTTTACTGTTACTTCTTCAGGTCACATAGTTAGCTCTTAGCAGGACCAGAAGCAGCACCATTGTTCCAAGGTGCCATCCGCTGCTGTGTTGCTGTGGCCTGTTTTTCATCATGCATTTGACCATCTGATACAATCTAATGTATTTGTTGGTTTGCTTCTTGTCTTTGTCCCACCGTAGAATAGAAGCTCCATGAGAGCAGGGACTTTGTTGTCTGGTTCATCCAGTATCCAGAACATGGCATACAGAAGGACCTCAGTAAGTAGTTGCTGAATAAAAGAATAAATAAATTTAGAGGCCCGCAGGTAAACCCGTTGAAGAGTTGAGAAGGGAAAGGAAAAAAATTAATGTTTATGGGGTACCTGCTTTTAAGATGGTTTACTTATGAATGTTATCTCAGCTAATGCTCACAACAGCGGAGTCGTGAGGAAAACATTGCTGTTTCCATGTGATGGTGAAGAACGTGGGGCTCAGAAGTTGTGGTAACGCAGATCCATCCGCCTTCCAAGCTCATGCTATCTTCACTATTGCAGTACCTCCCAATTAGATCGGATCTACGAATTTTCATGAAAAGTACCTTCATTCTAAATGTTGGATGATCCTATGATGTTTATTTATTTTCTTTGTTTTTTTAAACTTTCCTTTAGGGGCGCCTGGGTGGCTTAATCGGTTGAGCAGGCGACTCTCGTTTTTGGCTCAGGTCAGGATCTCAGGGTCCTGGATTGAGCCCCATACTGGGCTCTGTGCTTGGGGGTGGGGGGAGTCTGCTTGAGGATTCTCTTTCTCTCTCTCCCTCTGCCCCTCTCCCCACTGATGTGCTTGCTCACGTGCGCTCACTCTCTCTCGCTCACGTGCGCTCGCTCTCTCTCGCTCTGTCTCTCTCTCTAAATAAATCTTAAACACACACACACACAAACCAATTCTCCTTTAAATCTAATCCCTGGGGCACCCAGGTGGCTCAGTCCATTCAGCATCCAACTCTTGGCTTTGGCTCATGTCATGATCTCATGGGTCCTGGGACCGAGCCCCACCCCCCACACCTCCCCAAGCAGGCTGCCCACTCAGCAGGGTGTCTGCTTGAAGATCGGCTCCTTCTGTCCCTCCCCCAAGTCTCCCTCTCTCAAATAAATAAATAAATCAACAACAACAACAACAACATACACACAAAGCTAATCCCTAAAAAAAAAAAACCCCACATCCTATAGGAAAGCATGCTATCTACTCGAGCCCCTGCACACTGTAGGAAGGCAGCTTGGAGTGGCGAGCTCAGTTCTTGATTTGGTTTTGCGGGATATGGAGCCCAGGCCTCCCCTAACCACCAGCAGTGTGAGTCTTAGTTCCTCATCTGTGAAGCAGTGGCGTTAATAGCTGCTTGCCTGCCCACCAGACGGAGTTGGTAAGAGATAATATATGTAAAGCACCTAGCACTATGCTTCATCAAAGAAAGTGGCCATTAAATGCTAACCACTAGTATCGTTAGTAATTCTATTAGTGTTATCCTTATTAATAGTAATCATAATACATTCTTCCCTCGGAAGGGAAATACTTGTGAGTTTGTGTCTTGTCTGTGGTCCTGCCTCGGGATGGAGTTAGGGAGCCTGGAGTCATAGACTGGTTCCGCCTAAGTCTTTGCTTTCACTGGGACCCATAGCGCAGACTGCCAACCAGCTTCTTTCCGCTGCCGCACCAACGCGAAGGGAGCTTGGCTTGAGGGTGGAAGGATTAGGTCAGACCTATTGCCACTTTTGGAAGGATAACCTAGTGATAGTAACTCATAATAGTTTTGTGATGCCTTGCACGTTTTCTGGTGTTTCCGTATGTGTTAGGTCATTTTTTCCTCATGTGTACAGGAAAAATAATATACTTTGTGGAGGCAACTTGACCGCTTTCCCACAGTTTTCGCACTTACTGCATGCTCCTGGGGAAGTTACCTTCCTTTGGGTGCTTCAGTATCCTCAACTGGAGTGCAGTGGAAGGTTCTCATTAAGACTATAGGACAATATGGGGCGCCTGGGTGGCTCAGTGGGTTGAGCCACTGCCTTCGGCTCAGGTCATGATCTCAGGGTCCTGGGATCGAGCCCTGCGTCAGGCTCTCTGCTCAGCAGGGAGCCTGCTTCCCTCTCTCTCTCTCTCTCTCTGCCTGCCTCTCTGTCTACTTGTGATCTCTCTCTGTCAAATAAATAAATAAAATCTTTAAAAAAAAAGACTATAGGACAATAATTAGGACAATAATTAACACATAGTAAGTGCTCGGTATTAGAAGCTGTAATGGAGTGGACGATTTCTTTCTCATTAAAATCTTTTTAAGTGTTCTTGAAGGAACTGTTCTTTATTAGGCATCTACTGAATGCAAAATGTTTTCACATACTTTTTCATGTATTCCATTTCTCACCCGAGCACTCAAGAAACTTGATCAGGGCCACGTGGCTAACAAGTGGTGGGGCTGAAATGAATGTTCAGGCTTCTGCTTTCCAACCATCTGCTTTTCCTAGGATTCTGCCCTGCCCCATATACCAGTTGACAATCTAGAGCTGGTGGTGTTGTCTACAGGGAAATGTGCAAGCTTCAGGGAATATGTACCTGCCTCTACAAAGCAACTTTTGATTTAAAAAAAGAATGATATTGCTGCATTTTGTCTAGTATTTGGAATTGTTTAAAACAACACCGAAATACCTCTGTAAGTTTGATTCAACATTATTACATTCAACTTTATGGAAGAACATAATAGAGTGAAACTTACAACCTTGAATCGCTGACCATAGGGGTTTGTTTGTGTGCCTCTCTCCAGGTCACTTGGAGATCCTGGCCTTGGAGGCCGGTACTCACCTGCACTTCGTGTTTCTATTATGTTTCACAGCTGAAATGTTACTGTAGGCCAGTAATTCTCAACCCTTCGAGGATATCAGAATCACCCTGAGGCCTTGTTACAGGATAGATTGCTGGTCTCATCCCAGAGTTTGAGTCAGTAAATGGAGAGGCCCCATAATTTGCATTTTTCCCCATGTGATGCTGATATGGTGGTCTGGGTACCACTTTTTGAGAACCAGTGCTCTAGACCAGGAGTCAACAAACTTCTATAAATGGCCAGATAGTAAATATTCTAGGCTTTGTGGGTCGTACAGTCTCTGATACAGATACTCAACTCTGTGGCTCAGAGCAGCCGTAGATCATTGTAAGTGAATGAATGTGACTGTACTTATGGGCATTGAAATTTGAATTTCTTATAATTTCACATGTTAAAAAATACTATTTTTCTTATTTCTTTTTTGCCCATTTATAAATGTAAAATTCATTTTTAGGTTGTGGACTGTACAAAAACACAGACAGCAAGCCAGATTTGGCCTTCGGGCTGTAGTTTGCCAACCCTTGACATGCAATTGTGACATGTTGGGGAATTTTCAAACTATTGTTTTAATTATAAAAGTAATGCATGCAAGTGGGTAGTTTAAAAAAAATCTAACAGTGTAGAAGAAAATAAAATGAATCAGGGAGACTTCCTCCCCACCCCAGGCCCAATCACATGTCCTGGAAATAACCACTATTGATGAATATCAATTTTCAGAAATTTTATAGAGATATACAAGCTAATATAAATGTATAAATTTCACCAGTCTATTTCACCAGTCCCCCATGGATGGACATTTGCGTTATTCCCCATTTATTTTCTACCACAAGGTGAGGGTACATCTTCTTACATCCATTACTGCATAATATCTGCAAGGGAAAGCCCTAGGAGATGAGTTGCTGAGTCAAAGGATATATGCATTTAAAATTTTGATAGCTATTTCTTAATTCCTTTTATGGGCACTTTAGGACCCTGAATTCGTTTTGTTTCAGGGTCACACCCTACATTTCTGTTTTTTAGTCTTTATCTGACTTGAGCATTCGTCATGGTGCATTTCGGTAGAATGCCTCTCGCTGCACGTGAACTTAACACAAAGTAGTAATCCTATCAAGGGCAAAAAGTGCAGCTGGCAATTTGTCCATGATTCTTGAAAGGAAAACAGCTTTAAAGAATATAAAGCCACCCAAACAGTGCCCTGAACCTAAGATCATCCTGGACATTGCTGGGGAAGGTTCCACAGCAGAAATTGTTCTTTTTGCAAACCTGGTACTTAGCAGTTGCCTCTATACGTTTGTTTCCCGTTAGAGTGAAGTTTTCCATTGTCAAACATGTATGTAAACATAGTATTAGCTAATAAATACGCTGTGCTATTATTGTACTAGAACTCAGAATATCACCGCTTTCCTTTCTATTTGGGGCTTTTCCTTTTTGAGCCAGTAAAGGATTAGGATAATGATTTAACAGACAACAATGGAACATCTTAAAATGTAGCCCTCTGGTAGGTTTTTTAACTTAAAATATGCCTATTTCTGCTCACAGGTTGTCATAGAATTTTCTCTTCACCACTCAATCCTATCTCCTTACACAAGGAGTCAAGCAGTCAACAAAGAAGAAATTTCTTTTTCCGGAGACAAAGAGAGATTTCCCACAATATAGTTTTGCCGGCTGCCGTCTCTTCAGCTCACCCAGTCCCCGAGGTACCGTGTTGCCTATTATCTGCTGCTTTTTCCAGCCAGGATGAAGCTTAGCCGCAGAAATGAACCAGTGTCTTTGCACCTTTGATTTCTGAGCCATTTGAATCATGATTTTAAAAGTTGGTTTACGACCTGAAATTGTGATTTGAGAAGCAGTAACATCTGCAGTTCTATAACATTATTTTTTTTAAATAAAGCTCTGAGCTTACAGCTGCTTAGCTTACTTAGGAATTAGTTTCTACTGTGAAATTTTCTATATTAAATTTCTAACACGAAGGTAAAAGTACATGTCTCTAGTTTCTTAATCTTTTTAGAGAAAAAAAAATGGACTGTAAAACTGGGATCATTCAAGAGAGATTACTTGAAACTAGTACACTAGATGTTTTTTCCTAAAGCCTGCTCTTGTACTTTCCATAGTATTAATGCTGCTGTTTTTGAATCCTCCTTTAGAGTAATTAAATAAAAACCTTTTGCCTCAGAGCATTCTTGATTTTTTTCTCAGAGAGTACAATTCTGTGGAAAGACAATCTACCCATGTTTCGAAATGAAAAATGAAGGAGATGGGGGGGGGTCATGTAGGAAGAATGAGAACACCTGAAAGAATTCTAGATTTGTCACAAAAGTCACCTGCTTTCCCCCTCTGATGCATTTTTTAAACAGTAAACCCACATTAAGTATATTATACTCCCTGAAGGTGAGTGGCCCCTTTTGTGTGTGTGTGGAAAGGGGCCAATGAGACAGGCTACCAGAGCCCAGAGGATGTTCCTGGTGTTTCTGTGCTGGGAAAGAAAGGGAAGCCTCCAGAGAGATGAATGTATTGTTTTAGAATGCCAGTGACAAGCCCGGAGCCCTTCTGCCTGTAATTGTAACCTGGCCACGTCGTCGCAGGGCCGAGTGGAGACAGGAGTGCAGTCTGTGGGGGACACTGCGTGAGCTTCCGTGGGCACTGGTGGCAAAGCTGGAGGAGTGGATGCTTGCCCCGAGCTCAGCCAAGCACTGGCGTGCCCTGTGTCACAAAGGCCCACCTGAACATGAGGATAAGGGAAGGTCTTAGAAGTGAAGGAGTGATGCGCTTCACAGAGAGCAGACCTCTAAGCTCAGCCCTTCCAGAGTCACTGTGAGGCCAGCTGAAGAGTCTCGTCTCCCTCTGCCTCCTGTCCCCCTCAGCCTCCTGTCCCCAAGTGCTGTGCACGCTTACTCGGTAGGGTTCCACAGTGCTTATGTGGCAGTGTCCGTAAACAGATTGCTAAGAGCTGAGCACAACCTTGGGACTGAAAGAAGCTCTGTGTGTAAAGTAGTTATTTATTTTCTGAATACTGCCCATAGGTTTAAGGAAGCAGTGGAGAATGTTCTACAAGGGTGATCAGAGTTGAACATTTTGAGTTTGGGGGATTTCTTGGTTTTTGGCAAATCATGGGAATGTTCTAGGTATTTTTTTTTTTTAATGTACTTTAAAAAAAAAAGAAAGAAAAAGAAAAGAAAGCTGTTGGGTTTTGTTCTCTAGTCCCTTCTTAGTTTGGGTACAGTTGCCGAGTGCAAGAAAAGTGTATATGTAATAGGCTTCAGGGGCCTTGAGAGTCAGCCTTTTACATATATTCATTCGGAGAGGGTGTTGTGAGCTATCCTTTGCATAAATTTTATCTTTGTGTTAAGAAGATGAAAGTACTCTTAATTAGCCATTTGGCAATTTGGAAGCTTGGTGCTCTTTTTCCATCAACGACAAGAATGCTTCTTACAGGGTTGGGAGGAGGAAGAAAAGAAAACTACTGTTTGTTTTGACCAGAAGTCTACTTCAGACCAGTTTGACTCAAAGCACAGTAAGGTTAACAGACCATCCAGAGGCAGCACTAACAGGCAATGTTAAGTTCAAAAGGGCAGGGGAAGGAACTGGGGGCAGCCTGGAGGGTCTGTCGTGCTGGCTTCGGAGGTCGGTGCTCCGGCAGGAAGGGCAGAGCTCCATGAAGCAGGAGGCTGTGTCCGAAAAAATGATCCCATTGTCGTGTGCTGGGTTCTGATCTTCATTTTCAATCCTTTTTCCTCAAGCACATAAAGAAGCCAGACTATGTGACGACAGGCATTGTACCCGACTGGGGAGACAGCATAGAAGTTAAGAATGAAGATCAGATTCAAGGGCTTCGTCAGGCTTGTCAGCTGGCGCGACATGTCCTCCTCTTGGCTGGGAAGAGTTTAAAGGTGACGTCTCAGCAAACCTCAGAAGGACTTACAGAAGTCGCAACAAAACCCTTCTCTTTCCCCTCTCTCCCTTTCGCTCTTCTTGCGTACACATCTCATTTGTTAAAAAAAAATCAAGTCAAGCCTTGGGATGGGGGAAGGGGATTTTATTATTTTGTGTGTTTATTCTAGAGGTAATTTAAAATCCAAATTCAATTTTAAGTAGCAGGATTCTGGAGATATTTTGGGCCCAATCAGCCTATCCCACTTGATCAATGGCAGACAGCTTTGACTTCTGCCCCTTTTTCCTGCCTGTAGTTTCTGCTTTGACTCCCCCACATTATTTCTGTGTGCCTGAAGAGTTGTTCTGCCTCATTCTTTGTCTCCTTTTCTCTGCATTAGTTCTGCAAAGCAAGATTAGAGCATATATACAAAGCTATGGGTAATAGAGAAATGTAATTACAGACGACTGTCTTACTATAAGATTTAGTTTTCCAGAATAATCTGAAACACTCTGCTTTTTAGGGGTCATTAAAAAGAAAAAGAAAAGTACGGGTCTGTAGTTTCCAGAAGGTGGGCAGAATTTAGGAAGTGCGTCTCAATGGTGAAATCACTTAGGGTGTCACCTGTGTAATAAACTGGTTATAGGAACATAATTAAGCATAATGTGAATATCAAATGACGCATAGAAAGATATTGAAGAAATAGGTAATTTTTAATAAAAGATTTTGTTTTAGAATCTTATTTATGACTTATGAGTTTATGGAGGTATCTTCATATACTAAAAAAACTCAATTTTAGGTTTTGTTTTTTTTTTTAGTTTGAGAGTAATTGGATGCCTATTAATAAGAGAGAAATGTTTTTTAAAAACACAATGGATTTACTTAAGCATGAAAGAAAGCAAGATTTGTGAAAAACAAATTTCTACAATATGTATCAGGCCGAGTTTTTTTTTTAAATAATGATCCATAATCTTCTCATCATTGCTGCAAAGCCCATGTAAGCTTTCACTGAGATAAAGAGGTGTGGGTCGACTTACTTTTTCAAGCTTTGTCATCTAAACTGAAGCTACTTTTGAGAATTTATATGCTTCAGCTAGCCTGAGGCCCTAGCCCTTGAGGAAGAGGAAGGAAGTGCCTAAGAACCTCTCTGTGAAGTGTTCAGGCTCAAAAGTAGACATATCATTTAATGACTCAACAGATAATTTATAGGATCTTAGGGCTTACAATTTCCATTTCCTAACAGCCCATAACACCATCATATACCCAAACGATTATCAAAAAGGCACAATTGAAATTTTTCATGTTAACCCCCATTAATTAAAATATTGTATCACGTGTTTATCACAGTCTGTACAGTCTCATTTGGAAGTGCTGTAGCTAGAGACATGGTCAGCGAGTGCAGGAAATGTCTTCAACTGTGGCTGCACAACTTCTTTATTTAATATTTTAGGTCGACATGACAACTGAGGAGATAGATGCTCTTGTCCATCAGGAAATCATCAGTCACGATGCTTATCCCTCACCTCTAGGCTATGGAGGTTTTCCAAAATCCGTTTGTACCTCTGTAAACAACGTGCTCTGTCATGGTATTCCTGACAGGTATTTATTGCTTAATAACATATTGTTCCTTTGGAAACTAAACCATGAGACCAAAGATCTGTAACACACGGTGAAAGACACTAGCTTAATTGAAACCCACCTGCAAACTTGTGAAGCTGATTATGGTAAAACAAAAATTTCGAAGTATTTTGCTTCTAAGTGGACATAATTTAACATTTGTTAAAGCAGTGTGTAGTCCAAAAAGGTCATTACTCCTTAAATATTGGTTGTACGTTCTTAGATTTTAACCATATAAATGGTAAAAATCCAAATGTAGGCAAATAGAGGTCATCAACTATTGTTTCAGCTCTTTGCAGAATTAAGGTAACCAATAAGTACTTTCTTAAAGAATTTTGAAAAGATTTTTAAACAATAGCAATATGTTCATATTCTGTATTTCTTGTAAAATGGGATGTGACTAATGTAACTTAAAGATTAGATATAGTTTTTCCCATTTATTCCTCTTCCACTCCAAATTACCATTGCAATTCACTGGGCTCGTGATAGTCTTAGTATTTATTTGTACATTCCTCTTATTGAGATCTGTCTATCACCATTTTTATTCTGTTTACGTTTCAGTCGACCTCTTCAGGATGGAGATATTATCAACATTGATGTCACGGTGAGTAAATAATATAAAAAATAGTCTTTGATCAACTTCGGAATTGCTGGTAGCACCAGGAAGAATTGTGGATTGAAAATGCGAGCCGCACCAAGGGAAGTGCTGTTTACTTCTAGACCCAGACGCAAGCAGCTGGTTTCCTTTTTTGTCTTTAACTCCGTGTTTATTCCAAGTAAACCCAGGCCTGACTTGAATTTAGGGCTGGAATCAGATGCACTGAGATCAATGTTGGCCTAAGTGAAATGTCAACCCAATCCTGCTATGTGTCATGTTTTTGAGAAGGTGTAATTGTTATTGATCCACTGTGTAGTTAAAGCAGAGCACCACAGCACTGGGCAGCTGCTGAAGCTAGATATGTATGAGATGAGCTAACGCGAAGAAAGCCAGCATTTTTCCTTCACTCTGCCAAGATTGATCTTCCTCTTCCTGCTGATTTTGAGTGGGGCCTGTCATTATCTTACTCTGTCATTAGGGGCTACATTGGCCTGTGTGTGTCAGTCTATTTGGACAGCAACTCTTTTGCTAGCAGTGTTCCCTAGATTTATTAAAATCCCTGAAGGTAACGTCGTGCTCCATTTGTGGCATCGAGGGTACAGAGAGCCTTGAACTCGGAGCATACAAGCAGAGTGGTTTTCTCTCTGAACCCAACTTTTTACCAAATGGTTAACAGCCTTTCTTTTAAATAACAACCCAAAGTGATTTAACGTGGGAACTTCAAACTGTACAAGTGCCAACCTTTTCTAATTCCCTCAGCCGTTCACGAGTCTCAGACTTGGATTATTTGCGCTTTGGCAGTTTATTTTACTAAGAAAGTTCGCAGGGATCCCTTTGGATTATGCGGATTGGAAATAAATTCTGTGCATTTGGTGATTAATAAACAAGTTTTAAGTGAATAAATAAAATTTAATCATCTGATGAGAACCGGTTGAGAGAGACAACATTCAAGGAGTATAGCTTCTATGAACGAGGAAATATTTTCCATGATAGTTATTTTGTATCCAGACCATGAACTTAGGTAGGTGTGGGAATGAGGTGGAAATTGGCATCCAGTTGAGTTCAGCCAAATTTTTAGTTGTTTGAATTAACTCACCCTCTTTTTTTCACAGCAGATTGGATGGTGACATAGCCAATGATGCCTTTATCGCTGCTACTCTTTCATATATCATTTTGTCCTCAGAATACTTGAGCATTTACTCCACAGATATTCTGTTGGTTTATCTTTCCTACTCAGAATCATGTAGGAGGAGATATTTTATGAAGTATGCCTGAAATAAATATTTTTCCTGATATACTTTTCTTTTGAATTGTAACTGATTTGGGGGTTTTACATTTATTGTCTCACCTAATCACCCCCTAATAAAATATTGCTGCTTTGAATGAAGTCAGCACGCTCTTTCCTACTGCTCCCAATGCATCCAGAGAGAATATTCCATGCCTTTTCTGTTTCCTGAAGACTTTTAATGAATTTTTAACATTCAGATATATCACAGTTGCAAAACTCATAAAGCAAGGTCAAACACTTCAAGTGTCTCAAAATATAAAGGAGTCAAGAAGAATTGGTCGCTATCTTCATAAATTATATTTCTTTTTTTTAATCCCTTCCCACAAATTATATTTCTTGTGAGATATGTTATTAAGTGAAAGACTCCATTATGAGTCTTACATTTCTTACATCATCAGAAAGTACTCGTTGTGCATTTTATAATTGTTTACATCTAGTATATATCACAAGGAAACAGACTTCTTTCCCCCTTGGAAGCTGAATTTAAAAAAAAAAAAAAACTATGAGATGCCTAGAGTAGTTGCTCAATAAATATTTCTTTAATAAATGAAGTACAAAACAAGAATACTTTGTGAGCATAAACCCTAATTATAGATAACTGCCATAGGCTTTCAGAAGTGTTATTATTCTCATACATATTGAATCTTTCACGTAGTCATTTGGAAAACTAGCAAAAAGTAATATAAGAAGCCAAAAATTTTTAAAAATATCTTTTACTTAAATAACAGTTACACAAACACTGAATTATACATTTTTAAAATAATTACTCATATTAGCAACAGTAACATAATTGTTTATCAAATCAAACTTGTACTTTCTTGGACTGCAAATGGGAAAAAATGTATAAAACACTACTGTATTGCAAGGTAATTAAGGTCATTTGACACAGTAGAGAAAACATTTGATTAGAAGCCAATACTACTTCTGGATCTACCCCTGTATTTTTGCCAGTAACCTTAGATGAGTTACCTGTTTAAGCCTCAGGTTTCTGACTTATAAAGTGAAGATGAATAAAGACTTTTCCTGCTTCCCTTACAGAGTGTAGTAGAGTGTTTTTGTGTGTGTGCAGAATAGTATACAGATTTAAGACATTAACTCAGTATTAAAATAGCTCAGATAAATATCTTTTTTATAAGTTTCCACATTCTACTTCATGAGAAAGAGAAATGTGAAAAATAATTACCTAGGTCAAATTAATGCAAAATAGCAAATTCTGTGCTCTATCTGAGGATCAGTATTCAACCAGTCCCTTCTACCTTGTGTATTTATTATAGTGTTTGTTAATTATTGATTTTTATAATGACTCTGATGTCTTCCAAGATCCTATAGGGCCTGCTGACAACTGATAAAATTGTATTTTCTGTAATTTTATTCTTAAGCCTATTTTGTTATATTTTAATCCTTTAAGACCCCATGTATAGTGTCTTCTGTTAACATTCTGCTATCTGTAACAATTGACTAAAGTTTCACTTCCAGACAGGATCTTTCCCTAACATATTTCATTCCCATATTGAGCCACTTCACTTCTTGGAACAAAATTCTCCTACTGTCTAAGACTGACATGTCTATTTTATTTCTTCTTGTTGTCTATCACTTCCAAATGTAGAATTGGTAAATAAAAGATCGAGTGTCTTCAGGACACTGAAGAAACTTTTCACTATGTTAAATACTTCTAGGTTCCCTAGAGCTATTGTAGTAATTGTGGGTCAATGTCTTTGGTCACTAATTTATGCATGTATAGTTTTGTCTTCTCAGAAATAAAACATTATACTAGCATTGCTAATCATAGTGCTGAAATAGCCATTCTAGTTGCATATTTATTTCTGAATTTTGTAATATCATCGTATGGCTTCATCTTTTTTAATTTCTGTAAGGCTTTAGCATATCTTTTTTTTTGTAGGGAAACGAGTAATTCTGGAAGGGTGAAACATATGAATCTACTAAATACATAAATGAACACAATATATACTTTTGGAAAGTACATTTTTAAACAAGGATGTATTTTTAAATGTTTGCCTGTGTTTAGGTCTATTACAATGGCTACCACGGAGACACCTCTGAAACGTTTTTGGTGGGCAATGTGGATGAATGTGGTAAAAAGTTAGTGGAGGTTGCCAGGAGGTGTAGAGATGAAGCAATTGCAGCTTGCAGAGTGGGGGCTCCCTTCTCTGTAGTTGGAAACACAATCAGGTAAGCCTTACACTGACAAGTAAAGGGAGGGTTGGCAAATGGTACAAAGGTTATTGGTGGCTTGGTATAAAGTTGATGACATGTTTTATGATTCACAACCATCATTTCAGTCTGATATCAGTATGTGAACTGCCAAGCTGCAATGTTGTTCCCTGGGCTTAAAAAAAGAGAGAGAGAGAGATTTTAAAACAGTGAATTATACTGGGGTCAGCAGGAAACTTACAGGAGCAGCAAGCAATATTTATATGACTGCTTTAGTTTAAGCTCGACATTTTGGTCTGTAGTGTTCCTTTACTCAAAATCACACCAAACATGGAAGAAAGTAACTAAGAAGGGGATAAGCATCCCAACTCTTGGATAATGAAACAGGAGAAAAGCTAAATTTTATAAAGGAATGAAGTGAAACATATTCCTGTAATACAAACATTTAAAAAAAAACTAGCTCAAGCAAGACTTACCTTTCAAATTAGTGGATTAGCAAACAGGCTGAAAGGGCGAGTTTATGTCCTTTTCCTGTCTGGTTCATTTTTTTCCTGTAAACCATTATTTATCTTCCAAACAGCATTCTATGCTTGCTTTTTGAGTGTATGTGTATTTTCTGAATTCAAGACTTTTCCCCGTAATCTGTTACCTACTTTTAGATCTTTTTTTAAAACCCCTATAACTGTTTTGAAGTAGACATTCAGAATATGTGTTTTCATTCAAAAGTAATACATTTTGTTAAAGATGATCACATCAGTACCTTTTAAAGTACTGTTCTCATTAATATGAACCATTGAATACTTCCCGTTTGTCTAAAGGATGGAAGGCTTAGTCACCTTGAAAAGATGCTGCCTCTTTTCTTCGTAAGCCCTCAAACACTTTAAGAAAAAAGGCAGTAAAATATCAGTTAAATGTATTTATGGCTTTAAAAATATTGTAACAATGTCTGAATCAAACTTTAGTAAAATCTCTTTGGGTTATATCTGGGAAGCTTTTATTGAAGACTTTGAACAAAATTGTGTTTTTGACAGTTTTAAATTATAGGCTAACTAGCCTGGGAAAAAAGGATAGTGTCTCTCTGTTCTTTCATAGGAAATGTTGAATCAGACCCCTACTGGGAAAAGAAATTTAATGCATATCTCACTATCTTACTGTCCATGAATATAATAGAAATGAATTCAAAATGCAGTTTTATTTTTGCAAATGGGATGAGTCGATAGATGTATCTCATATTTTTGAACACCTAGGGTTCAACAAATTTGCTGGTGGTGCTCTTGCATTTTAACAAAATTTATTCTTCAGTAGAAGGGGGCAGAGAACACTAGATTCTTATTCAAGCATTCTATCGAGCTCTGCATTCATGGCTGTGTCTAAAGGGCATGTCAGCCTTTGATTCTCTCTGAGAGGTAATTATCCTTTTCCTGTCACGGAACAACAAATGATAGCTAACTACAGAGGCACATTTGCAGTAGTCACATTCATCAACTGCAGAAAAAAAAATTCAATTTAATTGTGCAACACAGCTGCACACGGGCTTTTGAGCATTTCTGTTGTTCTCCCTGTCTCGCTATTCCTCCCTCCAGATCTATTTTTTAAACTTTTTTTTTCTGGTTATTTTTTCCCCTTTTTGTCTCTTCTTCCATTTTTACTCTCTGTACTTTCTTGTTAAAGTAATTTTCCTTTGTGGCTCTCATTCTTTTTTCCCCATTGAAGGCTATGAATGTAGAAAATTATCACAATTACTCATATAATTGAGCCTCTTTGTAGCAAGTGCAACTCCAGTAGCCTTTCTCCATCATGAAAATGGTTTCATTATAGGGTTTTTCATATTCTCTGACACCATCTACACAGAGGAACAGGCGTGCGGATGAGATGTGCTAGGAACAGGCTAGATCAGTAAGGTCACAGTAGGAATAATTAGCTCTGCTATGGAAAGAGCATCTAGGCCTTTTACTGCTACATAAATGTACTGTCCGTGGCTTTTAGTCACAAAAAAACTTACTAACAAATGGAGCTCCCGCCTACTACTTTGAAAAAAAGATTTGTATCAACACTACAATTTTCCATCATTAAGACTAATAACACAGAGCCTAGTATACATCAAGGGGAATAAAAAGAAAAATCTCACATTCAAGTGGCGGCTGGGTGCTGACCTTTGTTCCCTTTTTTTGTGTACGACTTAACTCTTTACAAAAAAGAGCCACACGCCACACCAACATGCAGGTGAACTCCAGCTAGTACTAGCAAAGCACAGCATTCAGTCGGAAAATCTGATAAATCTCCATGCAGGATAATGCATTTCATTACATATTCACTACATTAATTCTAGCTACATAAAAAAAAAAGAAGAAGAAGAGGAAGAGTAGAATTGAAAGTGACATTGGGTTTTAGCTATCTGGATGCAAAGGTCAGTTTTCGCAGGGTATGAATTTGCATGGACAAGCTCCTTTGAAAACCAGATCAGTCCCAACAGCTACACTTACAAAACTATGTGAAAAATAACAGACAATGAACTTTTTACTTTCACCCTGATACATTTCATTATTTGGATGGTTTCTGTCTGCCACCAGGGACTAGCCCATGTTAAGGCGGTGTTTCTGGACATCTATTATTTTGCCTTTTCTTATTCAGGCAAAAATCTCAAGGGAGTAAATAAACAGTCTCCACCTTTAAGCCAAAAGTACTTGGAATCATTACAGACTGAAGGTTTACAAACATCTTTCAACTCAGTCTCATTTATTTTAAGATATTCACCATCTTTTGCCTAGCCTCCCTCTACTGATGCACCATGAAAAGAACATTCAAGCTTCTTTTATTAGCAGTATGCTACCAAAAACCTAGTGATCCTTATAGGAAATTTCAAAATTCTCAGAAGCCTGTGAGGGTAGGAGGCTATCTCTGAAGAAGTATTGGCTATAATAGTTTAATGGAAAGAGTTCTCTGTGTGCCCTTTTGCTTCATGAGGGATGGCTAGTGATCTTTAGATTACAGTGTTATTATGCTCACTGTTACTCCATTTGCTTTAAATTATTTCTAAAGCTGTATATTCAAATTATCTCTAGATGATATGATCTGTACATATGAGAATATTGTGAATGTGTAGATTCATGCATCCCAAATATGTGACAGTTCCATCAAAAATAATTTAAACTTATAGTTGTAAATGTCATGATGAAAGTATCAATAAATGGTTTTTAATGTTTAATTCATAAGTATATGTTTTTATATTAATTTAGAAGACTATAAAGCAGATTTTTAAAAATAATCTCTTTCTATTAGATTATGCACATTTAAACAATAAGTGGCTCAGGCAAAATAAGTCATTTTAATGTCATCTGTGATGGATTTTTCTTGACAGCTACTGTAAATTACAATTACACTGCTTCTCTCTGCACATGAAAGTAAGCACTGCAATAAATTATCTTTTATTTCAATCCATCATGTCTGCTTTTCGGAAACAGAAAACCTCAAATAAAAGTTCAGCACTATTGTAAGAAAAACACAGTAATTTGTGATCCAGCTTGAAACAAAAAAATGTACCCCTCTTTCCAAAAACGGTTGTTGGCTTTCAAAAATATTACTAATTGTACTTAAACATTCCTTGTCGTTAGAGGGAATCCTTGGGCTCGTGCATTCCTTCATTCAAAGACTACTGTTTAAAATAAAAGCCTGGAAAGACTGAACTTGGAAAACCAGGGGCCATTTAATTAGAGCTGTGACCATTTGGAAATTAGTACTGTTTATAGGATTCGTGTAAAAATGGTGAGAAAATGATTTCCGTGTGCATTTTTTCTTTCTTGAGAAGAGTATGCACTTAAACACAGTACTCCTCTGCCCTCTTGGGGAATGTGTTCTTCGTCACAAAATGTACTTGAAATGTATTAAGAATTTTAATTCGTCTACACAATACTTCAATTGAGGAAAACTCTCTCATGAAAGGGAATTAAATGGAAGAAAACGGCCCCAAGAAATTCCTTAAACCGTAACTGAAACACGAACTGTAATAATAGGATGATTTCAAAGTAAGTTCAGGAAGTACATCTGTATACTTTCTTCCTTCTCTACCCTCTTCTCCCTCCCCAAATAGTCCCTATGAAGGACTTGAAATCGTAAATGCGCTCAGGCTCATGGGTAAGTGTTGTACTGTCTGATTTTTAGTTAAAGAAAAATCAGTACAGAACAGCTAATACCAGGAGAATTCTTTTCAGTAGGTTTCAGCAGAAAGAAGGCAGATCTCCTGAGTGGGAATGTCCAGGGCAAGAAGACCTCGGGCTCAGGAGGGGTCACAGCCGGGGAGGCCTGGTGTAGGGGAGCAGCTGAGGCATTTCTTGGGCAGCCCTGCCTGCCCAGCTGTTTCCACTTCCCTCAACACACCAGTGAAGGGAGGCACACGTGCTCCACCTTCCCGTGCCACAGTCAGGGTGACCACCACTGGCTTTCAGGTTAGAGTGGAATTTGCTACTACAGGTCCCTCGGATAGTCTTTTATGAATCTAGATTTAAGCCCTAGAATCAGGGCAAATCATTTCATGCTCCCCGTATATTCCAAATTAGGCGAAGGAGCATGATTTTAAATAGCAAATAGGAACGTTAGATTTGATCCCATTTAGTCCCCGTAAGTATGTGTGATAAAACCTCGCTACAGGGTGCCCGGGTGGTTCAGTTGGTTGGGTGTCTGCCTTCAGCTCGGGTCATGATACCAGAGTCCGGGGATCGAGTCCCGCATCGGGCTCCCAGCTCCGCGGGGAGTCTGCTTCTCCCTCTCACCTTCTCCCCTCTCATGCTCTCTCTCACACACACTCTCTCTCTTTCAAATGAATAAAATCTTTTTAATAAATAAATAATAAAAAGCTCACTCCAAATCCACAAGGGAAATACCCTGAAAGGCAGACCGAAATCTATACTCAGCTCCTGGGAATCAAGCATTGAGATGATGCCCAGCCAAGGAACTGAGCGAAATTTGTCCTGCGCTTTTCCTCTTTTCCAACCGGCTGTGAAATCCTGACCTTTGCATTCATGACACATACATTCTGTGATACTCCTATAACCGTAAGTTCCAGCAGGATCCAGGCAGTAAATTGTTGTAGGAGAATGCACTCAAATATCTTTAGCACCTTGTAATTGCACAGCTTCTTTTATGAAGAGGAATGAGAGGTGTGATGGCAGAGGGACCCCAAGTGTTTTTTCAGAGTGGGCTTTCTTCCTCTCTTCTCATCAGAAATTAAAATGAAGATTGCCATTGTAACACACATTAAAGATGTAGCTGTGATGCCTGCCAATCTGTTAGATCCTAGGGTTTTGTTTTGTTTTATTTTGTTTTTTTTCTTTAAAGGAAAGAAAGTAGGAGAACAGTTTATGGAATGTTCTTAGAATCATTGAGGTTTGTTGGGACTAAAGTCACATAATTTGCACTTTCGGTAGGACCCATTCTTGCAAAAAAAAAAAAAATCTAGATCATTATTGTCTTACGTAATAATCTCTCTTCCACCCTCTATCCACTCTCCATTCTCAGTTTTTTTTTGGAAATTGTGTGGTACAAGTAGAAACACCTTGGGAAAGTTTTTATACCTCCTGCCCCAACTGCACAGACACACAGAAATAACTATAACCACAAAGTACAAATTTAAGAGAGAAAGATGTTGACTTGTTGTTCCTGTTATTGACTCATGCATAGCTTACCTGTTTCTGCACTCTCAGTTACATGGAAATTAAGTCTGAATAAAAGGCTGTCCATTTGCTACTTAGAGTGACATCCTGGTATAAGGAAAGGCATCTTGCAGGTCCGGAGATGAAAGTTAAACATGTTCAGAGATAAGAGTATTGACGTGAGTGTCAGAGATGCTGCTTCTGAGTTCATGTTCAGACTAAACCTAAGGTCTATTGGAAACCTAGTTTGGGATCGAAGAACTTTGACTTTGATAAGAATTTAAATAGTTGGGGCCCCTGGGTGGTTCAGTGGGTTAAAGCCTCTGCCTTTGGCTCAGGTCATGATCCCAGGGTCCTGGGATGGAGCCCTGCATGGAGCTCTCTGCTCAGCAGGGAGCCTGCTTCCCTTCCTCTCTCTGCCTGCCTCTCTGACTGCTTGTGATCTCTCTCTGTCAAATAAACAAAATCTTAAAAAAAAAAAAAAAGAATTCAAATAGTAGTCCTGTAAATCCCGATCCATTGTTATGGTTAGGGTTAGGGCACTAACCCCGCATGAAAATATAAATTGTTCATGCTTTATATGTTTTAACTTTCTCGTGCTCTTAGAAATGAGTGTGTTCACCTGATTTCAAAAACAACTTCTTAACTTTGTATGTGAGGATTTTAAGGTTGAATTCTATATGCCAGGCTTCATTTCTATGGATGGAATAGATGGAAACCTGTACATTTTGCATGTAGAAAGAACAAATATAGCATTAAGAATTAGGAATCACAATACTAGCTTCTCTTAAGCATCACAGTGATTAAAAAGCATTCTGTGTGAATTTTGTTAATGACATAAGTCTTGAGTGGAAACCCCAAATGATGACAAAGTTTTGGAGTATTTCAAGAATATTGACAATGCGGTTTGACCTATTGTATGAGTGTGTCTGTTTCTAAAATGCATAATGTTTTGAAGTAGGCCAGAAAAAGGAAACTATAAAAGTAGGCGGTCACATTTCTAGGTTGCATTTTTGTTTCTCTGCTCAGTTCCCAAATCAGTAGTAATTTGCAAAGTCTTTGGTGAAATCTTATACAAACCAGGCAAGTTTTTATGACCTGCATTCAATGCACATGGGTATGCATACCGATCCGTATATGTGTGCATGCACACTCACTTGTTGTCTAAAAGTGGCCTTGTTTGAATGCTTTACTAAAGTAAATGAAGCAAACTACCATGTTAGATACATACCTTTTTTCTTCATTTATCCAAAGGGAGTCGTTGCATGCAATGGCAAAAATTTTAATTATTTCAGAATAATGAAAACATTGTACCGTCTGACTCTAAATATAACTGATTTTTTTTCTCTTTCAGAGACTGTTTTAAAGTGACTTTATCTAAGTATGTGTTAAAAACTTACCTAATTTAATTAAAATTTTTTTCGGTCGCTTTAAAGCCGCATAACTCATCAGAATGGTTTCCAAGTCTGTCCACATTTTGTGGGGCATGGGATAGGATCTTACTTTCATGGACATCCAGAAATTTGGCATCATGGTAAGGAAGTTAATTTGGGAGCTATTTATTGGATGGAATCAGAATAAGGCAATTTTGCTCCTCATGTTCCTCTAATTTTGAATTCATACGATCATCCTTTTGTGTGTATGCATGTGTGTGTGTGGGGGGGAGGGGGTTACTCAATTGTAACCAGCACATTACTATGTTACTGGATTAGAGCCCAGCAGTTTCAGTCTCAGAATAGGGTTTATTTTGCTTTTTGTCTTCCCCTGAAGGGTGATGGCTGGAAGGCACAAGGGATATTTGTCTAGAAAAAGTTACTGAAAACAAAATGCCACTGCATCAATGTCCCAGCAGCATGCACATATGACTGTTTTCTGTTTTTCTTTTTCTACCCTCTTCTCTAACTGCTGACTGTTGTGGTTAAACTTCATTACATCCTACACAGCGTTGACAGCTGATGTATTTAGCAGCATGTACTCTTTAGTGATTTCTAGATTATACCCACCCTTGTATTCCTTCCCCAGAACCTCCTGTTTTTCACTGCCTGAGTGTGCACCTGACAATGAGAAGGCAAGGGTAGGTCAGAGGCAGTAGTTAGGGTAGGAGGCAATTCTGTAGAGTGCCCCCAAGGGGGGCTGCACACCTGGACAGGGACCGAAGGAAAGTTGGGCCTTGACCTGTGTGCTTGGGGTTGGAGCAGTCCCTAGAAGAAATGCTGGTAGAACCCCATTCCCTGAAGATCCCCGTGGACCCAGCAGGTCAGAATTCCTTTTGCACTAAAGAGCTCCACCTGCGGCAGCTCAGGAGCACAGAAAGAGTGTCTCAGGCGTGTGCCCCACCCTGCACCAATACTTGGAGTTATTTCAAGTCACCCCTGTCCTAGTCTCCTGCTTTAACGTGCACCCTAAGTGGCTGCCTTCCCTTAGTATCAGTTCCCCAAGATGTCTTTCTCTCTGGGGTGGAGGGCGGGACCTAGGACCCAGTGAAGCCAGGAGACCTGGAAGCAAGTGGCCAGGGGACTGTGGAAGTTGTCTAAAGCACACAACAGGTGTCTAAAACACCCCAGCTGCCTCTGCTAGCCCTTGGTACACCCTTCCCAGGGGCCTTGACCCCAAGCAAAGAAAATGACAAGTCTAAGGGTCAGAACCCCTTCTACCCTAAAAGAAAAAATAAATTAAAAAATAAATAAATAGTACCAAGGTCTTTTTGAACAATCCTGCCCTTCTAATTGTTTCTCTCTTTCTCTCCATTCCTCACTCCCCCTACCCTATATTTTTTGTTTTGTAGCAAATGACAGCGATCTACTCATGGAGGAGGGAATGGCGTTCACCATAGGTCAGTGCCCAAGCTTCCCTTTAGAGAGCCCTGGCTCCCTGGATCAAGGCAGCAGTGCTGGCCTAGGCCAGGCAGTCCCGTGAAGGAATAATAAAGCCAATCAGCGTAATGAAATAATTCAGATGCATAGCAAATCTGATTAAATAATATCCTCGAGCCCCATCTTCCTAAATCAGATACTTACCGACACATTTAGGAGACGGCAGCCATCCAACCTCTAATTCTGTTTCGAGCATAATGCAGTGTTTGGTGTTTTTTTGTTGTTGTTTTGGTTTGGTTTGGTTTGGGGGGTGTTTTTGGTTTGGTTTGGGGTTTTCGTTTTTGCTTTTGTTTTTTTCCAGTAACACCCAGTAACTAGAAGTGATCATGTCCCTTGCTCCCTGTCTGGCCGCCGTTCCTGGCTAATCATGTGACTGGTGTCACCACCAAATTCCAATCGTCTAAGACCCTAAAGGCATCATATTTCTGACTGTGGTACTTAATGGAGAAGCAATTAGAGTGAAATAAGAAAATTGTTATTTGCTGATTAATGAACATTTTAAGCACGTTTTAAAAATTCAAATATTTTAAAAAACTGACTGGTATTTATAAGAGGGACTGGTGTTTGGGTGGTTATTATCCACGGGGTCCTAATTAAGGCTTGATTAAAATGCCCTTTTTTTCTTAAAAAAATTATGAAGGAGACAACTTCATACATTTTTGAATGCGGTAGTGTTTCCTCTTCCTACTGTTTAGTTTGTAATATACTATGTAAGCAACATCAATTATCAGCCCTTGTGAGATGACAACAGGAACCCGTGGGGGAAGCACTTGGGGGGAGGGGAGGAGAACCTTCTTCTCTTTTTTCGTAATCAGCCGGAACGATATTTGACAAGAATGTGATTAGATCACTGCAGTAAATATTTTCCCTCTTACAGAGCCAATCATAACCGAGGGATCTCCTGAATTTAAAGTCCTGGAAGACGCCTGGACTGTGGTCTCCCTGGACAATCAAAGGTGTTTGCTTTCGGTGCCACTGCTTTGAGATGCTATGGGAAGGGAGAATTGGTCCAACGGCTCCCGCGAGCTGCTGTTCCCCGCCCCGCGGGCGCTCTCCCGCCTCCTGACCGCTGCGGTGTGTGTTTCAGGTCCGCCCAGTTCGAGCACACAGTTCTGGTCACGTCGGGGGGCGTGCAGATCCTGACCAAACTGCCCCACGAGGCCTGAGGAGCCGCCCGCAGGTCGCAGAGGCCGGGCGCTTTTTATCCTAAATTGCCGAAATCCAGCTGGAGAACTTTTAGAAGACACGGGCAAAACGGGAGGTCACGCAGTAACCAACCTAGCTTCTCCTCTTGGAAAAACCCGGTGGGGATCCGATCTCAAGCCCGGCCTTGGCCTCGGGGCTTCGGAGAGAGGGCGGGCTCGCCTTCCCACCCCGGGAAATGATTCTGGGGGGGGGATGGGGAGGCCCCGGTTTGGAAGGCGAAGGATTTCTAGAGATGCGTGGTTTTCTCTTCCCCTTGCCTTGATGCCCAAGTAAAAGCTTTCCCCTCCTAAGCCCATTGTGTCTGTTGTCCTTGCGCCTCTGACAGATACTAGAGGGAGAGGGTAGCTGGTTAATTTTTGAGTCTGAACTTTTCACATCTGCGGTTGGGGGAAAGAATGAGCCCAGATGTTAGCTGGGAATTTTTTAGAAGTCTCTTCTTTTCCCCTTGTGGGTCCCACGTTGGCACTAGCCCTTCCAATTCTTTTCCCTTCATAGCTGCTTTGGGAAGAAAAGATTAGCTAGCAAACCGTGGGGTTGGTTACACATATTTCCTTGCCTGTGAACCTTGCGTCTGGCTTCCACAGTGCTTTATCAGTCTACACATATGGCTTTCCTGGTTCCCTGTGGCTCTTCTGGCTCTTCCTCACATCCCTCATCCTGCCCCGAGCAGCCATCCCTGAGGTTACTTTTGAGGGACCCTCTCGCCCCTTCATATCTCTGTCACACACACACACACACACACACACACACACGTCTGTTGCACTAGAAATTCGAACATTGCCCCCTCCCCATCCAGACGTGAACACTGTCCGGCTGTCTAGCCCCTAAGCTGACCTCTCCCCATATCCACCCCTTTGGACTGTGCTCTCCTGCTAGAGACCCAGAAGATTCTAGGAGAAGAAGATATGGTAACTTTTGAGGGCAAGAGCCAAGTTAGCTGGGATTGGAACTGGCAAGCCTGAAGCTCCACCAGCTTCAGAAGCAGAAAATCCAAGCACTCACATTCTACATTTCCCAAAGGCCCATTCTGATCAGAATACCCTCTCTTCCTCAGCAGGAACTACACCCCCCAGCACCTGTTCGCCCCTGGGCTCAGGTGAAGAGGTGCCGGGCATCCAGTAGGCACATAGAGAATAGCCCCCCTCTGATTATGGTTTTAGGAACAACTTCTGTGAGGGTGTCCAGGCAGTCAGGAGTTGTGCTAACTTTTGTTTCTACTGAAGCGGGTTTTACAAAGTTGCCAGGCACTAAATATAGCTTGGGCTGGAGAGCACCAAGGAAATGCAAGCACCTTTAGTTGCCATGACAGGTGGTCTCTGTGATCAGGACCCAAGAGGCAGCTGTCTTTGTGACACAGAGTGTAGGGAGAAGAGAAAGGAAACAGGCCAGTAAGTGCCCTTGGAGAAGTGGCTAGTTCAAGCTTTTCCCTGAGCGTGGATTCTCTTGGGCATCCTCCAACCCTTCCAGCCCCCTTTCTCTGCGCTCAGGCATGGAGAATTTGGACAGAGGTGATTCCAATTCAAGTGGATCTGAGAACTGGAAAAGGTGAGGGAGGGGCTGAAGACTTACAAAGCCCACAGAAAAACTTTTCAGAGTTCTTGAGACATTGTCCAAGCAAAGGCCTAGAGATGAGACTGCTGCTCTCGAACAATCATTCTCCAGGAAAGAACTCGGCCCAGATGGCCTTGGGAGAGGTTTGCCAGATAATGATTTCACTTCTCTCCTAGAGCAATGAGATTGCAAGGTTTGCCGCTTATCTTATCTACTGATCAGTTTACTCCAAGTTCCCCAAGAATAATTTTATTAGGACCACAGGGTTTTACCAACCACTGGGATAACATGCTGTTTGTGCAGCAATTATTCTGCGGTGGAAGTATTTATGGGACAGGTTTATAATCCTATTTATTAAAGTAACTAGTTTAAGCCTAGTTTAAACATGATACCCACGTATATGTATATATACCAGCACAGCCAATGTCAGCAGCTCCGTAGGAAACAAACTTGATTTAGAGCGAACTCCGTTTAACATGCTTTGAAGTTGAAGTTATAAAGATTTTAAAAATACCTTGTGCACCACCACCACCACCACCATCACCATCACCTTCCGGTTGAACTGGCCCCAGACCTCACCCCGGGGCGGCCGGGGTTTCAGCCAACGCGTGGCTACGGCTGACACCACCGGACTCGGGTCCTGCGGTGTCTCCCACTGGCTCTACTCGGAATCCGGGACTCTCAGGATAAACGTAGAGCTTTGTTTCCTGTCGGAGTTGGGACCGGTAAAGATCTAAGCAAACCAGCGTTTCAGAACAGGTGTCGTCTTAGCAATGGGGGTGGGGTGCGGTGCGGTGGGAGGGATCCACTCCGGGCTCACCAAGTGGAGGTAAGGTCGCACACTGCGAAACTGCTCCAGGCCAGGTGTCTCAGTGCCCGAGGGGCCCCGGCTCGGCCGCACCTCCCTGGACCTGTTTCTCTGGGGCTAAGAAATAATCCCCGAGTATAGACACTTCCTCGCCCACATATAATTCATTTCTAAAATAAACAAGGCTCTGAAGCCGTTTCCCGGGGGACCGCGTCCTTTGTTCCACGGAGCCAGCCCGGCCCTCTGCACTGGAAAGGCTTGTATTTCTCCTTCCAGATGTGGACAGAGAGCCCTGTAGACGACAGTCGCGACCCGTGGCTGTCTCTCTCCCCTCCCCCCATCTTACAGTTCTCTGGCATAAACTGGCCACGGGCCGCCCAGCCGTCGGGTTTCCTCGCGTATAGCCCTGAGCGCCAGAAGTCAACAGCCACTTCCCTTGGTCCCCACCCCGACCCGGCGCCAGCCACGGCGATCACTTACGTGGGCAGGGCCCGCTAGAGGTGCGCGCAAGAGACCAGGGGCCCGGGCGGCATCCGTGCTGCTGTGCAGAACGCACCGCACCGCACCCAGAAACAGGCGCTAGGAAGGAGCAATTAAAACCACAAGTGCAACACGGAAATCAAGAGGAGCCGAGCGGCTCCAGGAGTAGTCTGGTGGCGGAGTCATTAGCTGGTTGTTGCTACAAAGCATCACCCTGTGGTTCTGTGATTAAGGGGGAAAAAAATCTTTCTAAACGTTGGCAAACCAGTTATTGGTTTGAAGGATTTTTTTGTTTTGTTTTTGTTTTCCTTTTTGCTCCAACCACGCTGCCTGAAATATTGCTACCCCCAATATTATGCCCTTAAACCAAAGGAGAGGAATTCCACGGGCAGCAGATGAGGCTAGGGAAGTTAAAAAAGAGAGAAGCCCTTTCCACTAATATCTGTAACGACAGCACCGATGTAATTTGTTTTGAATGTTCATTTTTATTGGTGTTCCCTCTGCCAAAATGTGCTTGATTACAGAACAGAGGTTTGTCCTGTGATCATTGCGCACTCCAGATAGGGGAAGGTGCAACGCCGAAGGTTCAGCTCAGGCCAGATCAAATCCCGGGCTGTTTAACGCTGAAAGGCTGCATGTTGCTATTAGTGTTAAATATATGGCTAATTATGCGTATGAAAATTAAACATCAGTGTTATGCTAATGGGGCGCCTTCAGCTGCGGATCCGAGCACTTGAGACTACCATTTAATCAAATGAATCAGTAACTAATACATCTGCACGTGTGAACTTTCACAAGATCATTTCCCCGTTCCCGTCACACCGCTAAATTATGAAAGAAATAATTATCAACACTTTCTAATTACCTAACAAAGTAATTTGGGATTCACCGTGGGGCTGGCGGGATGGGGAACCAACAGCCCCTCGCAGACAGCGTGGTGCGCGCCACGCCTCGTGGGGGTGGCTGTGTGGTGGCGGCGGCGGGGGGCTTTTGTGCGCTTTTCTGTACCTAGCGCCCCAGAAGACAGAAGGCGCCGTGACAGCTTTTGCCAGCCCTGCCCCCAGGCCCAGGGGCGCCCGCTTTGACCACTGGAGATGAGGAGGATCCTGGGCGACAATGAGAGACATGGCTGTAACCAGATCTGCGAGCCTACCACTGGCCTGGTTTTGCCGCGGGTTTCCGGGGTCCACAGGACTCGTAAACCCCGGGTACTCTTGCCAGACCCCAGGAGGCCGGAAAATGACCAGCCGGTATCCGAGGCTCAAGCCGAACTGAGCCCGCCGGCTCCTCGGCTCCACTCAGCGCCGCGCCCTTGGGGCGAGTGAGTCCAGGGCATTCGGCGCAGAGTGAGTGGAGGGGAGAGGGAGGCGGAGGAAGGTTGGGAGGGAAAGAGGGGGTGTGTGTTGGGGGGAGGGGGCGGTGCGGTCGCCTTTCCTGGGAGGAGAAGCGCGGGTTCCTGGCTCTCCGCGCGCTCTGCTTTAATCAGACCGGTGCAGCCTCGAGCTGGAGTGGCCAGCTGGGCCTGGAGCAATGCGAGCGGGCCCCAGGGAGCGGCGGCGGCGGCGCGGCGGCCGAGTGAGTGAGTTCGCCCGGAGGGCCCCAGACCCGACCCCAGGGATGTGGCAGAGAGGATCCCGGCCGGGGAGGCGCGGCCAAGGAGAGCGCTGGGCTAGGCACACGACTCTCGAGAGGACAGCGCTCTGCTGGCCGCCTCTGGTGCCACCACCCCTCCTCCCCCGCAGTGCGCGACTTCGCGCTCCCAGGCCGCGGCCGGACTTCAGAGCCGCCCAAGCTGAGCGCTGGACCGGGTGACGGCGGCTAGGAGAAGCAGTTCCCCTGTCCCGGCGTGGGGGGCGGGCGGAGGGTGGGGACAGTAGTGGGGGGAGGGCGGCTGCGCCGAGCGGTTGGTGGGTTTCTGGGAAGTTAGGCGCGCCGGGGAGGCGGGAGGCCGAAGAGCCACGGGCCTCTGAGGTCCGGGCGCGGGCGCTGCAGCCCATTGTGCGCTCCGCACGGCGCGCTCTGTTGCAGAGGAGCCCCGGCCGGGAAGTGTGGACGCGTTTCTCCCGAGGCCCGGCCGCCTCGCCCGCTCTAGTCCAGCGGAGCCGGAGCGCCTCGGACCAATCCCCGGTGATTATGCAAGACAGCGGACCAATCAGCTCCGCCAGCTCATGAATATTTATGACCTTGGCTGAGTCAAAGCTTTGAAGCGAGTTTGGGGAGCTCGGCAGCATCATGCTTAGACTTTTCAAAGAGACAAACTCCATTTTCTTATGAATGGAAAGTGAAAACCCCTGTTCCGCTTAAATTGGGTTCCTTCCTGTCCTGAGAAACACAGAGACCCCCAAAAGGGAAGCAGAGGAGAGAGAGAGACCCACACCCAGACCCCGCGAGAAGAGATGACCATGACCACCATGCCAGAAAGTCTCAACAGCCCCGTGTCGGGCAAGGCGGTGTTTATGGAGTTTGGGCCACCCAACCAGCAAATGTCTCCTTCTCCCATGTCCCACGGGCACTACTCCATGCACTGTTTACACTCGGCGGGCCATTCGCAGCCTGACGGCGCCTACAGCTCGGCCTCGTCTTTCTCACGACCGCTGGGCTACCCCTACGTCAACTCGGTCAGCAGCCACGCGTCCAGCCCCTACATCAGTTCGGTGCAGTCCTACCCGGGCAGCGCCAGCCTCGCCCAGAGCCGCCTGGAGGACCCAGGTACGTGCGCTTGCCAGGGAGAGGGAGAGGAAAGGGTACGAAGGGAGAGAGGGAGAAGGAGGGTGGCAGGGAGGGAGGAAGGGGGGGAGGAAGAGAGAGAGAGAGGAGGGAGAGAGGGAGAGAGAGGTGGGGGTGGGGAGGGCGCCGGAGCAATGGAGGTTTCGGGTATCAATCTATGTATGGATCCTTGTCATAGCAAAGAAAAGATTTTTTAAAAAATTCCACCCAACTCCCAACTATGCAGCAAAGGATAAATCCGAGAGCGTCCCCTGGCACTGTCTGAGCCTCTGGGCGGCTCTGTGCGCGGAGCACACAATGCCCTTTGGAAAACAGAAACCCACATGTGCACGTATTAGTCGCAGTAATTATTTATTGCGTAGCGCTATAAACAATGTATGCAATTAAGGGTAATTAAACCTCAACTACCGCCTGCAAAAATAGCAAACTTTCTCTGCAAAGGCAGGAACTGCACGCCTGGGAACTGCCCCAGTCCGCCTGCAGCGGCCCGGGTCCGGCCCTCGGACTTTACGGGACACTTCCCTGGCTTTCGGACTTTCTTGAGCGTTCTCTGTCGGCCCAGCCTCTGCCATCCCTCGGTTGCCACTCGCCCTCGGCTCCCCGCACTAAAGGCTGTCCCTGCATTAATAGCAGCCCCCGCTTCTGCTGTCCCTCCAGGGGCTGACTCGGAGAAGAGCACGGTGGTGGAAGGCGGTGAAGTGCGCTTCAATGGCAAGGGGAAAAAGATCCGCAAACCCAGGACGATTTATTCCAGTTTGCAGTTGCAGGCTTTGAACCGGAGGTTCCAGCAAACTCAGTACCTAGCTCTGCCCGAGAGGGCGGAGCTCGCGGCCTCCTTGGGACTCACGCAGACGCAGGTACCTTGCCGCTGCCCCTCTGTCAAGCGGGCTCCCCGCGGCCGGCCTGCGCCCGGAGCTTCATTTCTGGCTCTCTGGGCCTCAGGGTCGGAGACTGTGTGCGCGCGTGTGTGCGTGTGCGTGTGTGTGTGTGTGTCCGTGTCCCATCCCTGGTTCTCCCTGCGTCTCTCCTTCCTCGCTAGTTCTCTCTGCCCGGGCTCTGTCGCTGCACTCTGTACTCTGCACTGCCTGCCGCCGGGCCCTCACTCCCTGGACAATCTGATTAGGGCGTGGAAGGATTTCCCTAGACGTTTTGTTTGGGGACTCTGAGGTCACACGTGCCCGAACAACTGGAACAATAGACGCTGGGCTTAATCCCTTCCTTGCCTTCAAAGTGTGTGGCTAATCACTCAGGGCCTGGGCTGGAGCCTCTGTTTCCCTCCTCCTCCTCCTCACCGGGTTGGGGTAAGGGGAAATCCTTTCCTCTGCTTTCTCACCTCCCAAGTCCCAGACCCTGGAGGAGGAACAGGACCTTCCTTCTGGGATTGCTCTAAGACTCTGGGGAGCCCATGGGCTTTCTGATCAGGTTTCCAACGTCTGGGCCGGGATTTGGAGTAGAGCTGGGGAGAGCAAACAGACACTAAGGAAAGGTTGATGTAAGTCCAAATGAAAAGTTTAACAAAAGCTTTTGGCCTCCTCAATCAGCCCCCGACTCACTCAAGGGCAGAAAGGATGGAGCAAAGAGAAAGCAGGTGGCATTACAAATAAATTTCCTCCACTCCTTTCCTCCACTCGATTCTTTTATTGATGTTCATATTGGACTTGAAGACTCAATGTTGTGCAGGCGCTGCTTCTTCCCCCAGACAATTGCGAGGGTCGAGCTGAGTCCCTGACAAACGAAGGCCTGGATCCCCCCTAACTCCTCACCACCACGCCCCCTTGGCTCTCTGAGAGCTTGTCCCTGCAGGCCACCAGCGGCTGGCAGCCTGGCCTCAGAGGCTTTGGTTTTTATAGGTGGTGGTGGGGCTCTGCTCCTCCAGCAGGGAACTGCCCAGTCACGCATGGCGGCGAGGGGGATCTTTTCTCCACTGTCCCACGGCTCCCTTATCTCCCCGACGACCACGGTAGGCACAGTGGACCTAGCCGAGTCACATTATTGTCCGCTCTTGCAGGTCAAGATCTGGTTCCAGAACAAGCGTTCCAAGTTCAAGAAACTGATGAAGCAGGGCGGGGCGGCTCTGGAGGGTAGCGCGCTGGCCAACGGCCGGGCACTGTCTGCCGGCTCCCCGCCAGTGCCGCCCGGCTGGAACCCCAACTCGTCATCTGGGAAGGGCTCGGGCGGCAGCGCGGGTTCCTACATACCCAGCTACACGTCATGGTACCCCTCGGCGCACCAAGAAGCTATGCAGCAACCCCAACTCATGTGAGGTTGCCCGCCCGCACCCTCCCGCCTCCTTCCCGTCTCCCCCCGGCCCGGGCCCCTCCCGCCTCCCGGTCCATCCACCCTGTCCGCAAGCCCTGGGCCTGCAGAAAGGCCCAGGGGCAAAGAAGAAGGAACAGCGAAGGCAGGACGCCCGCCACCTCCTTGGAGCCCCGCGCGGTCTGGACCGGCGACTTCCTGGCGCCCACGCCCTCGCCCCCGCCCCGGCCTACGCCGCGCAGTGACAGCAGACAGCGGCCTCCGAGCGCAGGCACAAGCTCCCGAGACAGCCAGAGCAGCAAGATGAGCCAGCTGGACCCGATTCGTCGACCTTCAGCTGTGTGGGACTATCAGGAAAAAAAAAAAAAAAAAAAAAAAAACCCACAAAAAAACAAAAAACAATGTAGAAAAAGCAAAAGCTTTTTTTTTCCCTTTCTGTTCTGTCTGTCTCTTGTCTCCTTTCGCTCTGTATCTGTGCGCTGACGAAGTCGAGGTCCTCGTCTGTCCGCTGTCCTCATTCTGCGGCCTCTGAAAAAAGTCACCAGGTTGGAAGAGGCTCGGGCCGGCAGGCCGCTCAGTTCGGCGTGCTGGGACGTTTGGTCCTTTCGGACTTTCTCCTGGGCCTGCCTAACCATCTGCGTAGCTCGCTGCGGAATTGGGGGAAATTGGAGGGAGGGGGTTTTAATTTATTGAGAAATGGACTTCCCCTGAGGGTGAACGTTGGCCAATTCGCAGTTCTGTGGAGCGCAAGGAGCGCCTGGTCCAAGAGTACCGATGACTTCAAATGCACCCGGAAAAACGAATAGGGAGGACCTGGTGATTTTTAACTTATACAGTAACTTTTGTACTTCACTGGTATGGAGAAGTTGGAACTTAATGCTTTGCATTTTTACATGTTCAGTATTATTTTTAAAAGAAAAAAAAGAGAAATGAAGCCAACACAATTTTCTCATCTCGGGAAAAACACTTGGTCGCTTTGCCTGGACAAGAAGGAAGATCCTAATTCCCTCCTTGGGGAGAGCCAGAGAGGACCGATGGGCAGTGAAGAAAAAGAACAGGCGGTGTGCCCTAAAGCCAGTGAGCTTTAAAGAAAGATAAAAGCAGCACTAATCCCCAGAGGCTTGACCACAGAAAAATGCCAGGCAGCGCCCTGGATGCCCAGACTCCAATGCAGGATCTAATCGCTGTACATATTATTGTTGTTAATTATTATTGTTATTATTATTGTTCCGTAAACATGTTGCACAAGCTTAGCTTTTCCGTTCTGTTGTGTGTGGCTGTAAAATCTGATGCTTTGTGAAATGAGAATCTTGACATTTTACTTGTGAAATTTGGAAAATGTGATCAATTGAAATCAACCGTGTTTTGTGTTCTCTATGTCAAAGTTTAGTTTTATATTGAGAATGTTAACTTATTGCTTTGTATCTTGGGAAAAAAAGAACTTTGTAAATAAGTTATAAAGTTTCTTTGAGACAGTAAAATTATGGTTTGGAGAAAGAACTGCTGTCTGGTGTGCTGTGTGAGGGGTGCTGTGGGCTGGGCCCGGCCTCCAACTCTAGGGACAGATAAGGCAGACAGAGATAGCGACTCCTGGCTCCGGACATATCAGAATAAGGGGCAAGGCCCTCCCCAGCGTTTGGGACCGTTCATTTTGCTCTGCTTCCGACCCCTAAGGGGTTTGATCCCTACCTGGGTTAGAAGGGTGGGCAGCGACTGTCTGGCAAGGGTCCTTGGAAGGGGGCATCAGGAACAGGTGCTGTGTGACGGAGCCGGGTCTCAGGAACCAAAGGGACTGTGAAGGCTGGCTGAGGAGATGAAAGCAGAGCTCAAAGGCAGTTGGCATGGGAGACCTGAGTGCCACCCCTCACCCAGTTACCTCGCCGGAAGCCTAGAGGACTGAAAGCAGGGACGCTGGACTTTGCCCCCCTCGCCATCGCCGCGATCTGGCCTTAAGGCTTTTGCATGCCGGCTGGGCGCGCGATCCCAACACGGAAAAGACGCGGCCAGACACCAGAAAGGGGCCGGAAGGACTCGTCTGTCCGGCTATACCCAGTCGATCACTGAGCTCCGGGGGACAGTCCCAAGGCGCCACCTGGCCCCTCCACAGTCACTCCCACTCACTGGGCTCCACCACGAGAAGCCCCTTTCCTCATAATGATCACCAGCTTCTTTCCGCGCCCAGATGGAAGTGCCAACCGAGGGGCAGGAGGACTCCATTGACTACTTGGAACCCAGGCGCCGTCTGAGTCAAGACCTCCCTCCCACCCACTCCCCCAACCCTAGCCCGACAGTCCTGAGGCCATGTCAGTAAGGGGGCACCTCCAGTGGAACGTTCCGATGAATTCTCTCCGGGAGAAAGTGGACTCCGATCAACCAGAACCAGATTGGCTCCCTCCACCCGGTGGCCCGGCGTCTCACCCCAACCCCAAGCCCAGACCCCACAGCCAAGCGGAGGAAGCTCAGGGAAGCTGGGGGCCTCGACGGGCTGCTTTGAGCGATTCCCGCTTCCCTGGCACTCGCCTTGCGACACTGCTTCGTACGGGCTGGCCCTCCGCCTTTGGGGGGCCCTTTGCAGCGCGCGGTGGGGAGCAGAGCGGGGAAGGCAGTGATCTGTGTTGTGACAAGCACCCATTTTTCAATTGGTGCTGGTGAAAGAGCAGATGCTCCAGGCTCTTCTGACGCCCTTTGGGAAGGGGAGGGGAAGTGGTGGAGGGGCGGTGGTGGAGGGAGCTGGGGAAATAGTGGGGGATGGAGCCGGGGACCTCGAGGCCCCTTTGGGGCTTGGGATTGGGGCATTTCCTCTCCCGCTGGTTTCCAGAACCCGGAACGCAAACCCGGGAGGCCAAATCTCGGAGGCGGGAGCGGACTGGCCTCAAAGCTGAGAGGGAGGACAGGATTTCCCAGGCTGGGTTCCGCCGTGGGGTAGGGAACTTTCCTCATTTGGTTTTCCCTGGAGAGGTGACTTTGCTAAAGGGGAGGTTTTGGTGGGTTACTCTCACACATCCAACTCTGGTGCAGCAGCCGGGACCCAGCGCCTGAAGCCACAGGCAAAATCTGTTTGGTCAAGCGGATTTTAATATTTTTAGATATTAGCTTATACTAATTTAATAATCTCTTGCTAACAGTTCAAATAGAGAAATTATTAGTTTTAGCTCAACGAAGGCGGTCTTTAGTTAGGCTCTATTATAATTATAAGCGGTTGCACTTTTAAAAAATGTTAATCTCAATATAGGCCTAATTAATGCTGCCTTGTTACTGACAAGTAGTTCATCAAATATCCGATTCAAAGATTTTCATAATGAGTATATTAATTAAACTATGAATAATCTAAAGGTGGTTATATTTAAACAATACCTCATTATAATGATTAAATACTGATTTCGAATATTATGTCTTAACAATTGTCACTTAGAAAACACAACCTTTCCTTATGTATGAGTCTGTAATGGCAAAATGCAATTTTGGGATTTTTTTCTCCTTGTTCAAAAAATGTGAACCTCATTTTAAAACACTTCTGAAATAGGTTACACACAGCTTAATGATTATCAAAATGACTCTTTTCTGCAAAAAAAGACCCCAAAGTGCGCGTACAGCTGCAAACCCAAGAGGGTCAGCATCATTTCACTGTATTCTCTTCTTGATTACAAGCCGGGCCCATCAAACACAACATAATTACAGTAATTTCAGGTTTATTTATTCTAATGCAGTTTCCCCATCTCTCTGGTAATTATGAGCAATTTTTTCGCCCAGGGAATCTTTTTGCATTAACAAAAGAGATAACGCACTGAAAGCCAAATTTGCTGTGCATTGAGAAAAGGGAAAAAAAAATCAAATAGGTGCGAGCTGCCATCTCTGCAATTCTCTGGTACCAGAGCCGGCAAATTGCTTGCAGGTGTATGGAGCAAGCTTGTCAATGGCCAGGCCTCCAAATTAGCAAATGCACAGCGTCAAAGTAGTGAAGACAGACTTAGCAAAATTGCCAAACAACAGATACCTCTTTAATATCTTCTCTCACACACACTAGCTCTAAAAGGGGCAGGGGTTGGGGGGCGGTAGGGGCACAAGCAACAATCCCCAACCCCCTTCCCACTGGTCTTGGCTTTCATAAGCCTGGGACTGAGTGGTCCTGCAAGTGGGACTTGCAGTCTAGTTGTGCAAGAATCCAGGTTCTAAGTCTAGGCAATATTTTAAAAATCTGAAACTGGAAACATGTTTATAGTTCACAGTTTTCCTTCATCGATTATTATGTTTTATTTTTCTTTCTTTCTTTTTGGGATCCGAACCTGGGCTAGGTCAGATGGCCCTTCAGCCTTCGCCTAGTCTGTGCTAGTTTGAAGAGCTACAACAAGTTTAAAAATTCCTCTACCAATATGCACAGAAATATGAATTTATTCTTAGAATCATTTGATGGAGAAATAACTAAATCGCTCCTCTTGAAGAAATTGTCCATTTCTGTCACCTATGGAAAGGTAGGTCTGGGTGCTGGATATGGAACCTGAGATGCTTGATCCCAAGAAAAATTAAGAGGAAAGAAGCAACCCAGGTTCCCGGCTATATATATTTTTTAATTATCCTCTTACCTATCTTTTTCATTCTGTATCTTTTGAAAACCGATTTCAGAATTATCTGGGTTTTGTCAAGCCACTGCCTGGGTTAAACATCTGAAATCACAGGCTAAAGCGAACTTTTCTGCTCCTCATCCCGCACAAGCCATAGGCACCTCCATCAAATGCAGTATGGTGGGTAAGGGTCTGTCCCTCCCATGACTCAAAGAAACCCTCCTTCGGTCCCCAGCTTCACAGCAGCCCCCAACTCCAGTGCAGACAGGCAAACGGCTCTAAAGGGTGCCTTCCCCAGGCTCAAGAAACCTGTCACCCACACCCACTCTTTTGCTACCCCCGCCCTCATCCCCCAACCTTCAGGGATTAACACTTCCTGAAACATCAAGTGTTTTTATAAAAAGGAAAAAAAAATAATCCTGACATCGCTGACAAGAAGTTTTGATGG